AAAAAAAAAAAAAAAAAAAAAAAAAAAAAAAAATAAAGAACTTGCTATTCACAACACATCTTTCAATCAAAGGAAAACACTGGAAGTACACTGGTGTAGCATGTAGGGTTCACAGGTACAAATTTCCAGCTAACAGAAAACGTATTGCTAAAAACCTTCTGCAGACAGAACTGCAACAAAAGAAGAGAAGGAAAGATGGGATTTACCTAAAGGTTAAAATATAACTTTAAAAAATAGACGCTCCTCTTTGATACTGTTTAAGTTTTTTTTGGGTAGAAGAGCTAGCAAGGGGTGTCTCACTGGAGTCCGTTTCTCAAGGCGGCAACAAAGGCGGTAGAGCTGGGTCCCGCCGCGTGCGGCCCGCACCTGAAACAACACCCTCGTGCGACCCAGCGGCCTGGCCTCCCGTCCCAGGGCATCTGCCCAGCTGGGAGTGACATAAAGCGAAAGTTGCAGGAGCCTGCGGGGCCCGGGCTAGCCCTGGCTCATGTCCCTCTTTCTCTCACCTATAAAATACGGAAGCACCTCTCCGCTGCCCTGGTCACCTCTGTGCCTTTGGCAGGAAAACAGGCAGCTGACTGGGAAGAGGGCAGCCAGATGAACAGCACAGCGGAGCTGCCATGGGCTGCTGGGTCCCCAGGCAGTGAGAGATGGCGACTCCGAGAGGGGACGGCACGGTCACCCCGCACTAACTGGCTCCTACCGCCACCAGACCCAGTGAGGACATGCTCAGAGGCGGCCCACGGGAAGGAGGACAGCAGAGACGACTTCTCAGCACCAGGCTCTCTCCGAGGGCTGGACGCGCCACTTTCCCAGGTGATGCAGGCTGCCCCGGTGGCACGCCCCACCAAAGAAGCTGCCTGTGGGGACACCACGAATCCCTCACCCGACCCCATTCTTTCTCTCTGCGGTTCGGTCCACAGACGCTTGCGCCCACCCTTCCGTCCAGCCTCCTCATGTACAGGCCTTGAGTCTCCCAGGCAGAGGAGAGGGACGCTACCAAGGAGAGTGAAAGGACCACCGGCAGCCCTATGCCCTCTCGTAACAGGACCAGGCTTGACTGAGGGCACACGGATGGAGACAGTACCACTCGGTGACTTTTTGACCCCCAGCCCCCCATTTGAATCTCTTCCTTAGGGATTCAAGTTTGTCCAAGTTCTGGAACCAAAGCCCCTGGCTCAGGCTGATCTTCTGGCTTGTGCCCCTCTGACATGTGGGAAGGCGCTTTAGATTTCCTGAGCATGTGCACGCCTTCTGCAAGAGTGTGCAGGCTGGTTCTCCCTGGAGGGGGCTGCTGTGCTGGCTCGCTCCCGCTGCCTCCTCCTCCAATCCCAGCACTGTGCTCACATTACCCATCACCTCCTGGAAGGCTAAAGGCAAACAAGTCCAGGAACTATGACAAATGCGGAAGACTTCCAAGTTAAAGACCTGTCATTCAAGCTGGGCGTGGTGGAGCACACCTGCAATCCCAGCACTAGGGAGGCTGAGGCAGGAAGATTGTTCGTTACAAGTTCGAGACCAGCCTGTGCTACAAAGTGAGCTTAAGGCCAGCCTGAACTACATATTGAGACCCTGTCTCTAACAAACAAACAAACAAACAAACAAAGATTAGTAATTTGACTGGCCAACTCTCCAGCACCAAGAAGGGCCAGCGGAAAACCATCCACGTGGATTGTCTTGTTTATTAAAAGCTTCATGGAATGAATTGGAGAATGTCAAACAGCAGAGTCAAGGGGTCTACAAAGTTCATTGGAAAGAGATCAGTATCTGGGATGTAAGTTTTTCCATTTTTAATCATTTTTAAATGAAAACTAATTTTTAAGGACAAATGTCCACAGCAGAAAAGCCTTAGCTGTTTACAATGATCTAATTCATGTGCTGTTTGGAATTCCGATCTGGGCCCCGGGGCTTTGCAGAGGGTGCATCTGAGGAAGAACTCGGATGGCACATCTGCAGAACACAGCAGGGCTAAAGGGGAGATTTCAGGTACGAGTATGATGTGGAAAGCAGAATTTGGCCCTTTCTACAAGGAAAATTAATCTCATGGCAATCTCGTTACACTGGAAGGAGTTACCTTACAGAAGGCCCCAGAGGGACAAGCCAGGTGGTACGAGACAGAAGCTTTCGTATCTGAACCGTGACCTTTCTCCACTTGAAGCGACCAGTTTTGTCGACCAAAGATGGGAGGCTGCAGGGGAAGGAAGAGGAAGGAGGAGGGGAAGGAAACCATATCTCCACTGCAGCTGTCTGCCTCACCCCTCGCTCCAGCAGACGTCAGCCCTGGGCTGCAGAGTGCAGCTCGGTGCAAGCGCAGAGGCGTGCAAGGGTAACGAGGACAGCTGTGCCTCGGTGTCCCCACCGTCACTTCCCTGTCATGCACCGTCATCAATTAAGGCTGCTGGGGTCAGATCCAGGGGACCCTCCCAGGCCCAGAGTTGTTTCTGTGTCAAACGGATGAGATGCCAGGTAATCCTCATACACCCCGTCAATCAGCTTGGCAGCATTGTTCCTGGCAAACCAGCAGTCTATCTGCTCTTCGCCGTTGTAAATCTTCCTTTGTTTCCAGACCACTGGGACTTGGTGCCCTTTCACCCGTAGAGTGGTCTCAGGCGTCCCTTCTGCCCGAGGGAAGGGCGAATCGGTAAGGTTTGGGCTGTGCCCTGCAGGCTCTTTGATGAGTTTGGTCTCCTGGTTCAGGAACTGACCTGGGAGGACAAAAGGACACAAAATGGAACTCATTTGAAGAGCAAAATAAAAGAAAGAAGAAGGGAAAAGGAAGTATACTCTGTGGAGATGGACAGAGGGGTGCAGAATGGGAATCAAAATGATCAAGAAGCATTTTATGCATGCATGTCCCAAGGTGAATGCATATATTATGTTTTGCAAACATATAGTAATGAAAGATTTTCTAAAATGCTCTGAGGTAAGCTAAGAACAGACACCCCTGCAGTCTATCAGCAGCATCAGTGTCACAGGGGTTTTTGTTTGTCTGTTTGCTCTTTGTGGTACTGGGGAGCGAAGCCGGGGCCTTCACACTGAGGCACTTCCCCAGCCTTTTTAAATTTATTATCTGGAGACAAGGGCCTCTTGGAGTTACAGGTGTGTGTCACCACGGCCAGCTGGGCACATCTTAGTGGGGAATCTCGCTGGGAGCTAACATGCCTTGTCCAGCCTCGTGACATAACCTGGACAGGACAGCGCTGGGCTCCCACACATACCGGCCTGCGGCTCCCAGAAGCCGGGAAGTCACCTAACCAACGCATGGAGATGAGCAGTCTACTGCGGAATCTGGAGGCCAAGGGAAGCACAGATAAACAGGGCGTGGGTGTCAGTCCCCTCCATGCGCTCCCTGTGGGGGACGCACACCAGGGTGGGCTGTGGAAAGCTGTCAGTTCAGGTTGCGCCTGACACTCATCCTCAGAGCTCTCCAGGTCAGGCAAGGGGAGTGCTCGGGCTGTGTCTGTGAGACGGAGCCTCTGCTTGGCATCAGCTGGGCAGAATGTGTCCAGCTCAAACGCCAGGAAATCCTCTTTCTAAACCGAGCCCTGGCAATGGCTCACTCTTAGTTTTGGGCAAGGGGCCCACGTGAAACTGCACGCTGAAGAAGACCGGCCAGGGTGGCTTCCCAGCTCTCACGGCAACGCGATGACTCCTAGGAAAGGCATCTGTGTGTCGTGCTGGGCCTGGGCCATCGGCTGCCCTGTCTCTGTGTCTTCACAGAGAGACAAGGAACCAGATCTTAAGATGATTACATTCCCTGCCTTTGTTCTCTTTCCCAGAAGATCAGTGAGAACTGCTTTACAGTGCCCACTTCTCTGCCAGAAAGGTATTCGTAGGCAAGAAATCTAATTTTCATACACATACAGTCCACCCTCCATGCCCATGGGATTCCGTATCTGCGGATTCAATCAACTGCAGACCAAAAACATTTGGAAGAAAACGCATTTGTGCTGAACACAACCCTTTTTCCTTGTTATTATTCCCTAACAATAGAGCAGAGTGACTATTTACACAGTTGACAGTGTATCAGGTATGATAAGTAACCTAGAGATGGGCGTGGTGGCACACACCTGTAATCCCAGCACTTCGGAGGCTGAGGCAGGATGATCGTTGTGAGTCTGAGACCAGCCTGGGCTACAAAGTGAGCTCGAGGCTAGCCTGAACTGCAGAGCGAGACACTGCCTCAAAAAGACCAAAAAAAAAAAAAAAAAAACAGTATACTGGAGAATGTGTGCAGGTTTTATAAAACTACTGCACCATTTTAGGTAAGGGACTTACACATCCTTAATTTTGGTATTCTTGGGAGATCCTTTAGCCATACCACTATGGATACCAAGGGACATCTGTGCCAGTAAGGACCAAATGCCTACTAAATTTCTCAAGCAAGCTGACAATACTGGCAGTTAGAGTTCACCTGGGAAATGTCACTCCTCTAAACCCAACGCGGATCGCCAGCGGCCTTACCCAGCAGTCCATGGCAGGTGCTGGAAAGGCCTTTGCTGTTGGAGATGTAGAAGCCCAAGTGGTTCCGCTGGAAGGGCGCTGGCTTTTTGTAGAGGTGAATGAGAACGACAAAAGCAATGGTGCCCTGGATGGTGACAGTGACGTTCGCATTGGCTGACACAGCCACCTCCAGGCCCCGGCTGCCCACCACCACGGTCTGGTTGCAGGGGAGGACCAGCCTGTCGCCGCCGTCGAGGATGACCCTGTGGGGTGTGATCTCCAGGTAAGACCGCTCCGGCTGGTTGACGAGGATGGTGATGGTGCCGAAGTAAGTGCGCTGTTTCTTGTGACCACTGGGAGGAGCAGGGGCCCCAATCAACGCTCCATTCACCGTCACACCTCAAAGGCGAGGGGAAGAGCGCAGTGGTTAGAAAGCTGGTCTTCCTGCTAACGCCATCGGCGGAGAATTTCCTTCCTCCTTCCCTATCTTCCCGGCTCAAGCACCCACACCAACCAGCTCCCCCATTCAAGCCACTGAGTTGAAGCCACTTGCTGGTGGCCACAGGAGTCTGAACGTAGGAAGCTATAAGGGCGTTTCCTCCGTGTGTGATTAGCATCTTGGAGCGTGGGGAGGAGGTGTCAGGTTTGGGTCCAGGTATCACAGAAGGGCTCGCATGTCTGTGTGCCTTCATTCCCGGGACCAGTTGTAGTGGCAAAGGTCTTGTGGGCCCCGATGTGTGTTTTGTATTAACCTGTTGCCACTGATCCTGACCTAGAGATCCTTTGAGCAGGGGTAGAATGCTAAATTGGAAATTTTTTATTCCCGAAACTCAAATTTGTTTATTTACTACGTATGTGCCCTCAGACAAAGCCATTTAAAAATTAATCTTCAACTCTCTCATTTTGGAAAATGAGGAGGATGTAAAAGCTAAGAGAACTTTCACGAGGATGCAAGGGGTAGGATATGTAGGAGCTGTTAACCGCCATCAAACATAAGCCGTTTTTTCCCTGCACCATCCTGAGCATGAGCGCAGCTTTCCTGGACTCGTCCCCTGAATGAGGCCGCAGACAGAGCCCAGGGTACCGCGCTGTGGGGCTGGACAGCAAGCAGGTGCCATTGCGCAGGAGACGTCTGAGAACGAATTAGCTGATGCATGTTGGATCTGCTTTGTCCTCAGGCAAAGAGGCAATCTTTAATAAATAGAGATTGCTATATAATTGACTCTTGTTTTCCCTGCTTTGAGGATCATCTTCCTCATAAGTCTTCACTGGCAACTTCTTAGATATACAAGGAGAAAAGTGACTTCCCCGGGAAAAGGGCTGCGGGAGAGGAGCAATCCCAGCCAGAGCTGGCCTCAACGCTCTCACCACCCAGACTGAAGTTCTGCCTTGCACAACTCGGGGAATTTAGAAACCGTGGGAACAGCTCCCAGGAGAGAGGGGGCTTACAGGGACCAATATAGTTAGGTCCCCATCTCGTCCCTGCACCCCGTGGTACTGTAAACATTAGAAACTTAGCTTTCAAGCTAGGAAGGCCTGCAAGAAAAAATATAATTGAGGAGACCTAGGACCAGACTCCACATAATCACAACATGCGCGTCACCTTGCTGGGGGCCCTCTGCAGCATCCACTCCTGAGCCCCTCATTTGCTCGCACTGAGAAATACCAGGTGGTTCCCACAAAGCTGGGCTGTGTGGCGGTCCACATGGTTGTCCCCAAGCATTGTCACCTGCCTTGAACAGCAGCCTTTGCGGTGCCAGCGTCTTTCCCCCAGGCCCTCTACACTGCTGACACACAGAGCTGTGTGGTTAGCGTCTGGCGTTACCTCTAAGTTATCACGGAGCTGGGACATATGAGTTTGGGCCTCTTACCTCCCCACCATTACAGCTTCTGCATGGAAAGACAGCGATAGTAATGATGTCATGAAACTCCATAACACTTGAGCAGTTTTGAAGCTACTTCGCATCCCTTATTTCATTTGATTCACTTCATAACATCCTGTGAGGCCAGCAGAATAGCACTGTCTGTGTTTTATAAGGGAGACCACTGAAGCTACACAGTGTGGGTTTGAGTGCACGCTGGTCTGACTCCAACCTCCACGCCCTGTAGCCAACCATCACAGTATGCACTGAGCACCCACCATGTTCCTTAGACAGCGGGCCAGTCATCCCAAAAACAGAGTGGGCAGAACACTCCCTGACACACAAAAGGCAGACTTACCGGAGCCCGTGTGGTCAGTGACCAGCCGCAGGATATCGCCGGGCTGTCCGTCGATGTTAAAGCAGACGGTGAGTTTGCTCAAAGGGAAATCCACAACAAAATGGGGATCGCCATCCACTGCCAGGGAGGGAACAAAGGAGAGAGAGACAGACACTTACTGGTGCCTTTTGTGTGTCATTATGTATTTAATCCCAAGGACAATGCTGGAAGGAAGGTACCTGCAGCTTATAAATAAGGAAATGCCGGGGAAGGAAGCGATTCCCGAAGCCCATCCAGCTAGTGGCTGACGTCAGGTCTTCTGAGTGCAGATCTACTGCTCCTTTCACCAGACCTCAGTAAAGTGTAGACAACGAGGCTTTGAAGGCGAGGGGTGTTGAAACGAAAGAGAGCTGTTGCCCTAGGCCCCCAACAATTACTGAGCCCACGGTCTTCAGTTTTCTAGGTGGATTTTCCCATTCACTTGCTCTGAATTTAACTGCCCACGTGAACAGTGAGGAGGACCTTTGTTGTCTATGACAAAGGCTCTGTTGCACTTCTTCCCCCAGCAAGCCATACACTATCTCAAACTTTCACAGTGCCAGCTGTATGCCACCCTTGCCTATAGGCACTAAGAACCTGGCCCCGTTCAGGGGCACTGATAAATGAGCACAGAGTCACTGGAAGGGTGGGCAGAATCGCTAGTGACAACAGTGGAATCACTCCTTGGGTCACACTGACTTTATTGCTCTTGTCTCCTTGTCCACAGTGGAGGGCGTGAAGTTCAGCTGGCCCCTGGTCATTCTCTTCTCCCCATCCTCGCCTCGCTTCTTACTGCACCAGCCAAGTATTTCCTGAGAGTCTACATCAACTCTCTTCCCTCACTAGATGGGAGGTTTAGTTTCTCTCTGGCGTGGACACGAAACAGCACGTCAGGAATACCTATTTTTGTTCAGGTTCACACGAACGAGTATGTGCCTGTGTGTGCTAGACGCAGCGGTCAGGAGGAGTCCCGTCTTTTCAAGCTGAAAGTGAACTCCTGCTCTCTGTGTAACTGCTGAACACACAGCGTCACTCAGAAGAACCACGGACACCCCGAGGAGAAAGTCTTTACTGCTGCTTCCTGCCAGTGTGTTCTGTGCGCAAGTCTGTAAAACAGGCACGTCCTGGAATTCGCGGTAGAGATAGAAATGCGCAGGCTCCCGTAGACGGATGCAGTTCCTTCGAACACGGGTGCTCTGTGGAATGCAAGACCACCTTGCTCTTGGGTGCTGTCTGCAGTAACGACTTTTGGCCTTCTCCCTTCTTTTTTGGAAGCAAGCAACATTTTTGCATGTAAAGGGATTTGGATGCTTTGAGTAGGAAATGGAGTCTGAAGCCTGTCAAACTCCCGGAGAACTGTCACATGAGCTGTCCCGAAAGAGTGCCAGAAGTGTGGGTGAGAACTTTTGTCTCCTCTGGGTGCCAGTCTTTTTTCCATCATCAAAAGACAAGCAGCTGTATTTCTTCAGTGCAGGGGGTCCAAGGCTCTTCCCGGTGAGGAGAGCAGCTAGATTCTCTCGAGACATATCCACTGGAGGAACAAAACCCAGCGCCCCATCCTAACTTTTATTATCATCCCAGGAAGTTGTCAAAAGAAAATTTTATGGTATTTAAAATCTGTTCCTTTCCTTCTAAGGCCAAGATTAAAAAACCAACAAAACAAGAAGTCCTGCCTGTCACTCCAGACGTTTATATCTTTATAACACTGTTTTTGTATCTGTGACCCCTGAGGCTGAAAGCATGTACGTTTCAAATCTCTAAAACCAATGCCTCTTAAACCCAGACATGATCAGAATGCACTTCTGCTTTTCTTCTTCCGTCAGGGCTCTTGCCAAGCTCCCTGGAGACCGCGGTCTCTCCGCAGTGCGGTGGCGTACAGCTGGCCCTGGTTTGTAGCATCTGCTACAGAAATGTGGGTCCTGATGCCATGCTCTTCCACAAGCTGCTATTTTAACTGGCTTCAGGGAATTCCCCACGGTCTACTTTCTAAAGATTCCTCGCCCTCAGCTCACACTCAGCCACACCCTTTTCTTTACCTGATGTTTTAGAGAGTTTGATTCTTGGGTCGGATGGTTGCTTGAGCACCGGTCCTGAAAAGGAAAGGAAGAGAACACTGTCATTCATTAAAGATGATGCAGTCAGACACACAGAGAAAAGAAGCTGCAGGAATGAGTAACACCCAGCTTTCAGATACCTTTGCAATAGCCGAAAGAATCCAAAGCTCTTTAAAACATCATTTACTTTAAAGGGAGAGCCTGGCCTCAGAAGACCCAACTGAGATGTAAACTGTACAGGCTTATTTTATTCTTTACCTACCAGACAGTGTTTTTGTTTTCTGTGATCCCTGTGAATATATGCAACACTACTGACCTGTACACTTAAAAAGGGTTATGAGGGTAAATTTCATGTTATGCGGTTTTTAACACAATAAAAATTAAAACCAAAGAGCATGGTTATAGTCAGTGTCACAACTATATGTGTAAGCTTAATTCATAAATCATTTCGAAATACCAAGTATTCACAGTAACTTCACTGAGAGCTAGGCATAGTGGCTCATGCCTGTAATCTCAGCACTCAGGAGGCTGAGGCAGGAGGATTGCTATGAGTTCAAGGCCAGCTTGGGCTACAAAGTGAGTTCAAGTCCAGCCTGAACTGCATAGCAAGACCCTGTCTCAAAAAACCAAATCAAAACAAAACACAAAATAACTTAACTGAATAAGTATCCATTAATGTATAACCTAAATGTAAATTAATTTCTGTAAGATCACTATCTTATTTCAAATTGTATATAAGGTGAAGTGTGGTCCTCTTCCCTAGTCTTTATCCTTGGAAAAAATAAAGATAAAATGATCTAACCGTTTTTCAAGCATTCACTATTCTAGTCCCTGGCAGCAGAACATGGGCAGAGTGCAGACGGACCAGAAAGAAGGATGGAGCAGTCTGACTGGGTGACCTCTGCAAGAAGTGGCAGTTGTGCCAGGCATGGTGGCATATGCCTATAATCCCAACATTCTGGGAGGCTGAGGCAGGAAGATTCCAAGTTCAAGCTCAGCCTGGGCATAGTAATGAGACTTTGTCTCAAAATATAAAAATTTTAAAAGGGCTGGTGATTGTAGCCCAGTGTGAAGGTCCCGGGTTGAATTCTTAGTACCAAAAAAGAAAAGTAGCAGTTGCTGTAGACACTCAAAAAAGAAAACATCAGAGCTTTGGGAAACGGAAAGCTGTCTTATGTAATCACTTCAGAAAAATCTTATTTGAAAAAGTGCCTGTAAACACTAAGTTAGTTGTTTCCTTTTCTGTGTTCCTGGTCCTCTGAGTCCACTATCATTTGTGTCTGCTCTGTCCTGAACCTACTGAGATTTGAACTGCTGACACACAGTACATGACCTTACTCAAAAGGCATTCCTCCTAGATGTGGCAAGGGTGAGCTTCGGTCTGAGCTAATACTCTCCTCCAGCCTGCTTTTAACCATAGCAAAAATCGCACTAGCTTTCAGAAAGGCTCTATTCTTTCTAAAATGGCAAGGTTCTTCACTGCCTGTCTAGCAGGGTGTAGACTTCTCAATAAATTTTTAGCACGGCTTGTCTCATGGGAGAAGTGGCTCATGTTTGCAGAACACGCATCGTAAGCCAAAGACTTTCCACACTAGTGCTTGCCACGGCCCTTCAGAAGCGCTATTATTGCCCCTGCTTCACAGGCACAGAAATGAGTGCTTAGAGAAATACAAAAATCTGACCTGGGCCTCACAGAGGCGCCTGAGGATCGGTGGGTCCTAACTTCATATCCTCTCTCCCGCCCTAGTACTCTCCACAGTTTAGAGTGAAGAAGGAAGGAGTCATCGCCTGTGAACTCTCTTTCGCCCTTAGCTGAGGGAAACTTGGCAAGAACCTCATAAAAATGCTAGACATTAAGACCCGCCACTTTCCACAAATGGGTGCTACCCAGAATACCCTTTTCCCTCGGCCTCACAGCTTTTCCTTCTGTCACTCCTGTCCCTAGAAGTTCCCTCTGGTCAAACTGCCAGTAGGCCTGAGCATGGCTGCCTCTGTCTAAATTCTGGGTGGATCCGCTCAGGAATTGATATCTTGGCTCTTCACAGACTTTCTCAAGAAAATAAAAACAATCTGCACATAAGATGACCTAATTCCGAAGTATTTAAAAATACAAAAAGGCACTTAAAACTGAATATTTGTGTCTGTTTGTTCATCCCAGTGCGACCAGTTGTGCCCGGCGTGTGGCAGGCACTGGATTTAGGGGTGATTTACTGATGGGCTGGCCACTGGCCACCTTTCGCAGCCCACACGCTGTTTTTTTCTCCTTTCTTTTGAGCGCCATGGTTTATAACAATACAAACACACGACCCTACATACTTTGTGAAGACTGCCTGCTGCACGCAGGGCTCTTGTTTATAAAAAGCGTAATCTGATAAAATAAAACAGACTCCTGCTGAGGTTGCCATGGCCTTAAAAGAGTCAGAGGAAACACTCCGGCGCGGGTCTGCCCGGCCACACCAAAGCTGTGCTACCTGGCTTCATGGAGGCTCCCCGCAGGCTCTGCATCACCGTTTCCGGGCCTGTTGCCGCCGACATGCCCCGCGCGACCTCCAGCGTGTTCTCCTGAAGCACCGGCGTCCTCAGCTTCATGGTGGTGAAGGGGGTGAGGAAGTGGTAGCTCATGGCCAGGTCCTGCGCCTTCTGCCTCAGTCTCTCCTTCTCCTGCTCATTGTCACTCTGCAGCCAGGAGCTTAGCAGCTCCTTCACAGTAAGGTAGCTCCAGAGATGCTCGATGTGGTTGGGGTCCTCCTCACCATCACCTCTGGAACTGGGGCTTCCTGGGACGCCGCTCCTCACCTTCTGAGGCTCCACAGGCACGTCCGTCTTTAGGATGACAAATTTCTTACTGTTGCTGGCAGTGACCTCCACGTGCAGCTGGTCCGTCTTCCTGTCCACCAGCTTCCCGGCGATGACGATCTCGGAACCGTTGAAGTAGTTGGGAAACACAGTTTTGGTGGCATGCTCCACTAAGCCAGAGGGGTAATCGACGCGGATGTCAGAAAGCAGGGGCGTCCTGATCTCATCGTAGAACCTGCAGGGGAGAGGCAGAGAGAGAATCAGGGCTTGGCGGCCAGCAGGAAGTTACACTCCTGCTAACCCTAAAGCAAGTTACACTCTTAGAGGGGGTGAACTGACTAGAGGTGATCAAGTCTGTCTCAGTCCACAGCACAATCTTTGTGACAGAGGACACCCAGTAGGGGCTCAGATCCCCCTGGTGAGAGAGCATTCCCGTCATACAGAGCTCCTGTGCCTCTTTGTCAACTGTTCTGATGACGAGAGAGAACATCTTAGCACTGATCAAAATCTTCTTCCCTGAAATTTCCAGTGTTGCTTCTGGAACAACAGAGAACTAGTCTACCAGTCTTCAACACGACAGCCATTTAGACACTCAGAAGACATTCTGAGTGTGTCTCCGGAAGTCTTCTTTTTATGCTCCCTAATCCACGTCTAGTTTCATGAATTACTTTACATGTGACACAATTTCACGTTCTCCCTCACAACTCTTTATATATTGCCCTTGTATACACCTAAGCTTCTCAAAGGGCTCCTGAAAACTTTTCTCTTAAAAACCAAATAGATGTCGCAGATGTGCTTTGAGTGGCACACTATACTTGGGAAATCTGACCTTCACTTTAGCATTATGCTTTTGATTAATGCAGTCTTTGTTTTTGGTAGCTTTTCCTGGGGTTCCGTTATGTGGCTGCTTCTTGCTAAGTAAGGGTGCAACCAAAATCCCCTTTCCAAAGATCTACACAGCGTAGGATGCGCAGTTCAACTCTCAACTCAATCACTTCCTTGCTCTGTGTCCTGGGGAATGTGACAGCTTCTTCATCTGTGAAATCAGGATGTTAACCGTCAGCACAGAGCTACTTTGGCAGATCACCAGCTGTGTCTCCAGCTCCATTCTCCCTTTCTTGTGTAATAGAGTTCTAACAAGGCACGTGTCCATCCACCTACAAAAGATGCTTCCTGGCCTCCACTGTGCCAGTTAAGGCCACCTGACCGTGGTGTCACCCATGGAGCATAAGGGGTATGTGCAACCTCTGAGACATTTGTTTAAAATGAAATAGCCTACAATGGCTTCCTTTTCTTTCTCTTTCTGAGGCTGCAATATAGAAATGATGGTGACTTAACTTCAACTTCCCAGTTAAGGACAATACCTAAGTATGTGAGGCAGAGCAGTAAACTGGAAGGAACCCGAGTGAGTCCCTGATGATTGCGTGGAGCAGAATCTAGGTGGTCCCCTGTTACAGGAGGGAGAAATGAAGGGCGCCCTTGGGTCAGCCTTTGCACATGGCCATCTCTGCATGGCAGCGCAGTGTCTACTCTAACGTGCCTAGTACCTCCTAGGACAGTGGCGGTGAACCTAGGGCGTGTGTGTTGTTTGTTTTTCTTTTAAGACCAAAAAAAATGTTAATACATGAGTTGCTTTTTCTGAACTAAAACCTCAGTATTTGGTTTAATTGTAGCACTGGCACTTTGCAATACATTAGTGGGTTTAGGGTGGCAGTTTCTAGAAGGTTTGCTACCACTGCCTCAGGATTTTGTGAGGGTCACATGAGATGATGTGTGCAGAAATGCAGGCATATTTTAGGTCCTCAGTAAGTATTAGATGGATAATATTTTTAGTACTATCAACAGGGCAGTTGATTTGTTTCTGTGTAATTATTTTTACTGTGAACCCCTTACCAAATCTGAATTCTGCTATACAGTACATTCACTGCCCCTGAGTCTAGCTTTGAAAAATTTTTACAACATAGGAAATAAATCTCTGTTTTCATTTAAATGTTCTATAAAAATATTGGAAGAAAACTGGTGGCCAGTTCTGTGCTAACCTGTCTTTACAGTATACTCTGGAATTTACTGTATACCATATTTACTGTCTGTCTTTACTGTAGACTCTAGAATTTCAGTGAGATTTATTATTACTAAATTTCTTTGGTTATAGCCATTGAACACCTATAAATGTACCTCAACTTCATGTCTACTTTACAGTATATTCCAGCTATGTCATGAATTAAGATGTGGGGGCTGGGGATTTAGCTCAGCGGCACAGCGCCTGCCTGGCAAGCGCAAGGTCGTGAGTTCGATTCTCAGTACCGGGAAACAAAACAAAACAAAACAAAAAAAGAATTAAGATGTGTTATGATTATGTACCATCTCCCTGTGATGAACATAATTATTATATACTAAAACATGTACAATAAAACTTTTAACAATTATAAAGAAATAATGCCACAGCATGCTGAACTGGAAGTGGACACTCCATTGGATTAGCTGCGAAATCACATACCGTGCTTGGTTGGCATCATGGTACCCAAGAGAAGTTACCTCTGTGTTAGAAGGCCTAAATTCTAGTTGTTCTCTACCTTAAAATAATAGTCGGATGACTCATCAGTTTAAACTGACTATTTTCCTTCCAAATTAAAAGATGATCATTTAACTGTACTCAAGATATCAAGAAGGCAATTATAACCATAAGAGCTCATTAAATGCCTTATATGACATAGCCATTGTGCCACTAATTTACAAAAGTTTTCTCTTTAAATTCTGTCAGCCAATCATAATTCTCATTTCACAGATAAGGAAACTGAGCCACAAACAGTCTTAAAACCTGACCTAAAGCCAGGAAGACTAGAATTTGAACCCTGGTTTGCCTAGTTTCCAAACCCAAGATGAGACCAGTGACTTAGGAGCATTTTGAGTAGATGCGAGGTACAGCAAGAACACCCTCCTGTCTGGATTTCTATTGCGTCCAACCCCAGCACAACATGTCCTCTTTCTGAGAAGACAAAACAAACCCAATGAGCTGTGCACCCGCGTCCTCCTCCTCAAGAACACGCCGTGTGAGGCCGCAGTTGTCCAGTGACAGTTTCTCCAGCAGCCTGAAGTCCACGTCATTGCCAATGCCAACAGTGAAGATGCAGATCTGACCCTGGGCAGCCTCCTTGGTGTTGTTGAGAATCTTGGGGGCATGGGTCTCCCCCACCGTGGGCTTCCCATCCGTCAGGAAGATGACAAGGGACACACTCCGGTCTTCAATGTCATTGTGCAACACGTAGTTGTTCAGGAGCCCGACGGCTGCCTGGAGGGCCCCGTTGATGTCTGTGCCTGTGGGACAGAGCGCAAGACAGCTCTCACCTTTGCACTCGCCTTCTGAGCCTGAGTGCACACTCACAGCTGCGTGGAACCCTCAGCTTGGCTAGAGCCACGAGGAGTGCTTTCTGGATGAATATAAATGACGTGGAATAATCTCACTGTAAACGCCTTCTTCCGCAGGTAACTGATGATACCTCAGGGCAGAAGTTCTCACTACCCCCACATTAATGGCTTCTCTACCTTTTTCTGAAACTAGCTTTGAAAAGAATAGGAAGGTGCTGGGTACAGGAATGTGAGGGGAGAAAGAGTCACAGAGAGAAGAAAGGTGCCCAGTATAGGAAAGCAGGGAGGGGCGACTCGACACAATCTCAGGTGACCTCAGACGTTACGGCTGGCGCTGACTGGCGAACTGATCGGCTCCCTTCCTCACCTCTCCTTCCCTCGCTTGCTGCTCCTTTGGGTTACGTTGGATTATTAGAGCCCACAAGGGCAGGAGCTGTTAGAATGTACCCTCCTGGACCCCCAAATTTTTCCCTTAGAAAGGTGCTTGTCGTCAGCAGCTCTGATTACAGTTGTGTGACAGTGTGGGAGGTGGCGAACAAGTACTTGCTTGGTAGATGCAGAGGTGAGGGGTTGGCTGAGGTTGAAACAGTTAACATGCGGTTTCTGGGTTAGCTAAGAATTTCACTCAGCTGAGCTGCTGCTGTTCCACTACCGCCAAGCGAAACTGAGAGCTCTAATCAGCAGGAGCATCTAGAGCCTCAAGGCACCTTTTTAATGGCTTGAGAGAAAAGTCACATGCCAAAAATTTTTAATTTCACTCACTTTTTAATGGCTTGAGGTAAATTTGCATACCAAAAATACACACTGTGAGCATAAAATCCATCATTTTTAGTGAATGTAGAGTTCTATAACCCTCGCCACCCCTATCATCCCACCTAGAGTGATTCTTAGCTACCCGCAAAATGTACAGTGTTTGAAAGAGGCAGATCATTTCCCCGTTACTTTAAATCCTCCAGAATTTCTGGCTTTAAAAAAAAATAGATGAGTCCATGCTTGTGAAAAAAATATTTATAATTCCTGCTAGGATGCATTCAGATTCCAAACAGAAGGAAAAGTTACAGCTGAAACAGTCTTCAACATCTCTTTGGAATCACTCATTTGCCTTTCGTAACACCAGTCTCACTTCTTGCTGCCCCTGGATGAGTGAGCACGTACCAACTGGCAGGTGTTGTATTCTTTTTAATGCGCACTTAGCAGCGATGCCAAATCTCTCCCTCCCCTTTAAAGCCAAGGAGAGCCAGGGCCAAAGGATGGATTTAGCTTCGCTGATTGCACTCAGGTGCCAAAGGCCCTGCAGGGCTTGGAATCCAGCCTGCGTAAAGGTGGGACATTTCCAGTCCAGTCTGCAACAGTGGGGCGCTCTCTGCAAGAAGAGTCCTCCGGAGCTGCCTGGCCCTGCCATCAAGAGCTCGTGGAACCTCAGCAAGGGGACCACTCAGGGGGGTAAATCCGCCATATCGTAAAGAGGACTTCCTACACACCAGGGTCACTCTATACACTTTAAATATTTAATCCATCTGATCCCAGTAACCACTCCTTTATTATCCACATTTTACAGATGTGGGAAGTGAGGCACAAGGAAGTTAAATGGCTAACAGTGGATTCAAATCTAGGCAGTGTGGCTTCAGAATACACACTTCCAAGGCTGAAGTTACACCGCTTAGAGAAGCAACTTAATCTGCTCTTCACTGCAGAGTGGACGCAAAGCAGTGTCAAGAAAAAGAGGAAACCAATAAGGTTTCTAAGGTTTGGACCACGAAAGAACACAATACAGATCAGCTATTTTCTGAAGCTGTTTAGCACCTCTCTCCAGCACAGACACATGATTAAATAAATTCAGTTTAACAAGTGCATTGAGCATGCACGGTATGTCAGTCACTGTACTAGGAACCAGGGCCTGCAAAGATGAGAGGAATCTCTTCCCACAAGGACTTTACCGTCTTACCAAATTCCTGCCCAAGACAGTAACTACAATAGTAAATCCAATCTTTCCTTTCTCCCATTGAATAATAAAACCTCTTTTAAATTATACTGTTTTTGGAGACTGGAAGGAAATACCATGGTAAGCCTAAATACCAGGCCGGCAAGAACAAGTCCCAAATGAAGTTCGTTTGGGAAATCAGCACTTTGTCTCGGATGGGAAATAATATATACAAATGGAGAAATCTCAAATGGGATAAGACTGATTCAAGTGCTTCAAATGTTTTCAGATAATCAAAGTGATATTAACCAAGATGGCGGGTTCAGAAGACAGTGTCTCTGTCAGGGGCCTTTAAGGAAGGGGACAGAGGGCCAGGTTCAGCCCCACTACATAACCCGACACTGCGCACCTCTTAAGTGACCCCTGTGCTAGCAACGTGAGCGAAAGGCCCAGGTCCTGAGTTGGAGAAACTTACACGGCGCACGGTTGGGAACACACTGTCCCGACTCTCTAGCCACGTCAAAATTCTTTATGATCTTTCCTCTCCCTCCAACATTCTGCACGCTCCCTGGGCACCACAATGAAGACCAGTGGGCAATGGCTCAGAGCTCAGCAGCCTCCCAAACTCCTTCCACATCCACAGTTCTTCCCTAGCCACGTGGTCACTCAGTGTAGATTAGATAAGGACAACCCCTGTTCTGCACGGCTGCCTGATACACACACAAAACATTGACTCGCCCGTCTCGCTTTGATTCTCTGCCCAAGAGCAAGTTACAAAAATCAGCTTTGCTCTTTAGCGTCTCTGAGATCAGCCAGACAGCATCCCAGCACCTGTCAGGTATTTCCCCCCATAACTTGACTAATTCATTCTGATGCTTTGGGGATGAGAATTTAGATATTTAGCATTCAGAGAAACATAAGCTCCTGGGAGAGCTCTCACCTGTTACCTCTTCTGCTGTAATCAGCTTCAGTTCTCTGATCCTCAGCTCTCGGCAGGAAATGAGCTTGTTATCATGTCAAAGCTGATGTGCAAGGAAGGATCACTCTTACCTCCGCTGGGCGACATGAGGTGAATGTAGAATTTGCCATCTATGACATTGCTAGGAGTGACCGGTACCAGGTGGTCCTTCCACACTTTAATCCGGTTGGAAAACCCGATGATACTGAAACGATCCTGGGGCCGGAGGTCGTGGAGAATGGTGGTAAGAGCCTCCCTGGTCTGCACAAATACAAAACAAACACCGCCATCTCTGATCACATTAGTCCACTCGCTTGGGAACTGCCCACCAGGAACAATCCCAAAGTTCAGATTCAGCGATTTAGTTAAATGTCACCTTGCTGAAAAAAATGGCATAAATATGTTCCAATTGTATTAAGACACAAATATATGCTGCTACCAGCCATATCTCTATATTTTGGCAACTGGTATACCCTGACCTGGAACGTCCCCCCTCTCCAGCTTTTACCTAACAAGCCACTAGTAGTTCTTTAAAACCCAGGACAGTGCACTAGATTCTCTAATTAAAACTTTCTCTAACTTCTCCAAAGAGAACTGATCATTCCCTCCTCCGGGCTGAGCTTATTTTAAACAGTCCTACTATAAAGTGTTTATTGCAGTGGTGATGACTTGTTTTACGTCTCTTTCCCTTATTAGATTATAAGCCCTTTATAGGTGGCTCTCATTCATTTTCATATCACCAGGTGACATACAGGAGGTGCTAGACACAGGTGTAGTGAGTGAATGAATGAACATTTCATGCTTGACATAAGAGGTGTGAATAACAAACATCATAGGAATCTGTTTTTATTTTTATTGGTACATGTTTGCAGTACATAATGTTTACATTCCTGTTGTGGAGTTGTACACATACATGACACATTAACTCCTGAGTCATCTGTAGGAAGATGGGTGCACCTAAGACCACCGTGTTAAGCAAAATAAATCAGACACACAAGCTTAAATGTGGAATGATTTTTCTCATATGAGAAACCCAAATTATAAATAAAGAACAAAATAAAAGACAGATAATAGGAAGAAGGGAGATAGATCTTTCTCAAATGGGGAGGGGATCAAGGGGTGAAAAGGAATTTTAAATATTATAAAATGACTTTGGACTTGAGTGAAAGTTCTATAAAGAAAAAGGAATCTGGGCATGCGGTTTAAAAGAACTTGACAACTTGGAAGACGAGGAAGAGCACATGAAAAGTAAGATGGATTGAGCAAAACTAAGAGGTGATGCAGGCGAATCTGAGGGACACTGACCGGATAAAAGGTATGCATTCCAGTTAGGATTTGTGGAAAGCAGAAGAAGCCATATGAAGCCGGAAGCAGAACTCTAAGAGCCTGGACAAGAGTTTCTATGATAACCCACCAGATATCATGAGAAAACACTGTCCTCCCGCAATAGCACTGTTGCTGGGCATCTCAAGAGATTCGGTGTATGGCATTAGGGACTTTGGATCCCAGTCCCATCTTTAGCCTCTGTGGACCCTGTGCAGTAAGCTGCATCACACACTGTATGTCCTGCCTCCCTGGGTTAAGTGCCCTGTTGGAAAAATTAGGACAGTGGTACTGCCTGCCTTATCATCTCGCCGTGAAGGTCAAATCAGGCGCTAGGTGAAAAGTACTCACAGTGAGGCCAGACAGGCAATAAGGTATATTGAATTTGCTGTTACTCGCCAGCTGGTGGGAAATAGGAGAATTTAGAGAAGCCAGAAGTCTGGAGTGGTGATTTCCAGGACGACTGGCATTGAGGAGCCGTGCGCTTACTCTGAGGATACCACGTGGGTCCAGATTTTATGGCTCTGCCTCGGCTTGATCCCTCGATTCAGATGAATCACACCTTCTACCTCTCTAGGTGTGTGAAATGACCACCACTTTTATTTTAACCTTTTCTTTTTTGAATTTCGCTACTTCTCATTCCTTGATCTTATTTTTCAGTCCTATATTCAACTGCTCACTCTCATATCTCATTGTCCAACTCTTGAATTTCTTAGGAACCTCAAAATACAATTTATAAAAGTATTGCCGATGTGGCTACTTTTAAAACCATACATGACCTTTGTTCCTAACCTCAGAGACTGTAGTCTGAGCAGTGTTCACCTAATTTTCTCCTTGCTGTCCCTGCTGAATCAGTGCTCCTCAGCTTTACCGTTTCTCCATTCCTGAGTTGCAAAAGCAGTGATGTCATCAGCAGCATGAAATGATGGTGGTGATGATGACAGCTACAGCGATGGTACAGCTGGCCTTTCCTGGCAACTCCTACTCACCACATGTAATGCTGAGTGTAAATGCTTTTCCTATGTTGAGGTGACCGACTCACTTACTCATCTGAGTAAAGTGACTATTAGTATTCCCATTTTACAGATGAGGCCACTGAGACAAAGAGGCATTAAATGTCATGGCCCATGGCAGCCCGGATTATAACACAGGAAGTCTGACCCCAGGTCCAATACTTGGGCTCACAGCAGTGGGATTCCTGGAACTTAAACTACTCTGAGCTCCAGCCTCACGGTGTGCAGCTCATTTTGGGATCTCTTCCAGCTCTACTGTTGGGCTGTGCTTATTTCTGTTTCTTTCATTTCATTTCTGGCAGCAATTAATGTACTCGTCTTCTCTAACATCCGTGTAGAAAGCACTGCATGAGTTCTGCATCCATCCAGAGACTAGCGCAGGGGATGCTTGTCACTAAGTCCAGTTTCCCGTCCCACACAGGGTCACCTCCATGCCCACTCCTTCCAGGAGGAAGAATGGCTTGGAAACGCTCATTTTCTCATGGGCCTAGAACTACTCTCTCATCCCACTCCACTCTTTGTGGAACAGGGTCTTTCCACGAAGGGGGCCTTCCTGACAGCCTCTAAGGACTTTCCGCCTTCTCTCAACCCTGACTCCCAGCAACAAGACGTGTCGGGGTGCACGTGACAATAAAAGGAATCCACACCCCAAGCAGGCCAGTGCTCTCAGGGAGACACGAAGGGTCTGCAAGATGTTCAACCAACATGGCCACTCCTCCTCCTCGAAGCTTGGCTGGCTCTGGCTTCCTGCCATACACACGGGCTCCTCCCTCTGCCCAGTCACCCGTGAGCTCTGCTGGTGTCCTCTCTGGGCCACTCTCCAATGCAAGAGTCACAAAGTGACGTTAGCCGAGTTCCCAGCTCCGCTCTCGCATCACCTGTGTGCCCAAGGCAAGTTCACGCATCCCCAGCACCAACCGTCAGTCCTCCTCCCGCTGACTTCCACACTCCTCTCTGGCTGACTTGCTTCTCTCGTTGATCCAAATCAACCTGTCAACCTCGTCTCCTCCCTCAGACCCCGGGTCTCTCGGGCAGCTCAGATGCAAGAACCTTGACCTTCTTCTTCAAACCTGTCTCTCCTGGGAATGGCACCCTGGGCCACCTGGGGTCCCAGTCAGAAACCAGGCTATCACTCGAATCTTCTTCCCGCCCAGTTCATCCCTGACCCTCATATTCTTTAGCACCCGGTCCTGGAATTCCACTCCTCTTCCTAAATATCCTGGAACCATAATCTGACTGTGATTCTTTCGTTGTTGTCCTTAATTTTAAAAAGTATTAATTTTAAAAAGATAAGAAGGAAAACAAAGAACCCATAACCCCACCTACCTCCCATAACCACTACAAAAGTTCTGGTGCACCACAGACCTCTTCAGAAACTTACCTGTGTGTGTGCAGGTGTATACAGGTGTGTGTGCATATGTGTTCACTTTTAAGGAAAGTGGGATCACATTTGTATCATGCTTGTCAGGATTTTACTGACCATATCAAGTACAGTTTTCATGTCAGTGCACCTAGGAATGTCACGTCATCTTAACAGTGGCACCGTGTTCTGCTACATGCATGCACCTAATTTTAATACTTCTGGATATTTAAGTAGCATTGATACGAAGCTCATTTATTCACATGACTTTGTGTCCATGACTATCTCCTTATGATAAAACCCCACACAAGGAATTGGTGGGACAAGATTCTGGAGGGACTGAGCAGCTCTCTACCTTGCTGCCAGAGTTAGATTTTCAACCTCCTTTGTGGAAGACCTTTGATGCTTCCTCACTGCCCACAGCATAAAGTGTGTTTGGATATGAGATTCTTCATAAAATGAAAGGTTCCGATCTATCTTTCTAGCTTTCTTCCTTGTATTCCCCTCCCGACTATGAACCCTAAGGTCTAACCCTCCAATGCCCATTTCCGACGCACACCATGCTTCTTCACGGTCTCCTGCCCCCGCACACACCCCTCTGCTCTCCCTTTTCTCCTCCATTGAGCTGCAGCTTGTCCTTTACATTTCCTCTTGGGTGAGGCCACGCCCATCTCAACCGTGAAGACAGCTAGTGGCTCCATCCTGAGTTCCCCCACTGCCTCTGCCAGGAGCTGTCTGGGAGTTCAGTTCTGAAGCTCCCCTGGGCCCAGGGCTGGCCAGGGAGCAGGGGATGGGCCCTAGGGAGAAGGCCCTGGCCAGAGACTGTGACTTGTTTAGCTGCTGGCATCCCTAGGGACCCTTAAATAGTGTGCTAAAGGCCTCGGCAGGGATCAGCCCGGCTCCCTGCTGGTGTTTTTCCCACCATGATGGATATTCTGCCATAGGAACAGTCGTCCCGGTCTCTCCACCCTTCTCCCCCAGCTCAGTAACTGCAGTTTTCTTATGACCTTGTAAGGCTGCAGCTGTGACTTATCCCCGAGTGCACTGAGGGAAGGGGGGCCAGCAATCACAGTTGCTCCTTCTCTGCTTGCGATAGAGCTGCCTGGATGGCCTCCCACCTGGTCCCAGAGGGTGTGACAGAAGTTACTGCTGCTGACTGTGGCCTCCACCCTCCATGAACCCTTCACTGGCCCTTCCCCTCCCCTTCCATGGGCTGGCCACCCCAGGGCTCTGCCAGGCATAGAGGCTTGGGAGAGAAGAGGGAGGTAAGTGGCCACATAGCAGAGCTAATGCAAGTGGGCTTACACGGATCTTTCTGCACACAGTGTTTATATGCTAAAGATTAGAGGCATGAGCAGGCCCTGCCTAAGAATGCAACCCACGGACAGGGTTAGCATATTCCAAAAAGATCAGAGGAAGCCCAGGGAGGCAAAGGACGTGTTTAGAGGGATGAACTGCCCTCAGGGTAAAGGCGCGGGGGTGGGGGGTTGGACTAGAGCCCCTTGAGAGCTCCCCTCAAACCTGAGATGACGTGGTTGTAAATAAGAAGCGCTGTAGGCTCAGAG